GAAATCCAGAAGCCACCCGGCCATTGGCAAATCACCATGGCATAACATGCCCAAAATCTTCATCAAACTTTGTGCTTTGCATTATGTCAAATATACGTTCTCAAAATCAGCATTTACTGATCAACCGGCCAATGGCACAACAGGTTAGACAATCAAATCCTCTGAAGTTATTGGGCTATCTTTCTGTGCTCCTTCAGAAGGGGTTACATACACTAGCCTAGCGGCCTAGCGACCTTATATTACATTGCACTGCAAGTTCCGACTGAAACATACTAAAAATGAGACGAGTAAGGTCTACTACCCAGTAGGTAGATAGATAGATAGATAGATAGGTAGGTAGATAGATAGATAGATAGATAAGATAGATAAGATAGAACAGATAGATAAGATTGATAAGATAGATAAGATAGATAAGACAGATAGGATAGATAGGATAGGAAAGAAAAGGAAAGGATAGGATAGGAAAGGATAGGATAGGATAGAAAGGTAGATAGATAGATAGACAGATAGACAGACAGACAGACAGACAGATAGGTAGAAAAAACAGATAGAAGAAATCAAAAGAATAGAGTAGGATAGAATAGAATAGAACAGAATAGAATAGAATGGAATGGAATAGAATAGAATGGAAAAGCATAGAAGAAAAAGAACGAATAGAATAGAACAGAATCGAATTAGAATAGAACAGTACAGAACGGTACAGAACGGAACAGAATCGAATAAACATTGGAAGTGGAATTGACTTAGGTTAGAAATATTACCAAATAAGAATCGTATTATAAAAAGAATAGATGAAATGAGATGAGATTAGATTGGATAGATAGGTTGCACAGAAACATTTACGATCATGACTATGTTCATGGCCATGTTCATGTCCATGATCATGACCATGATGCTGACCATGATCATGTACCATGTTCATGACTGAAATAAAGTGTATTACTTGCATGCGTCTGTTGATGGATAACTTATTTGATCTAGCCTGTATATACATATATCGTCTAGCATTGACATAAAACGCATACATGGAATGTTCGAGGTGTATGCTAGATATAGGGATAATTTTATGCACATCTGCAAGCATACCAGCACATTGTTGGTGAGTTCATGCAAAATCCCTCACATACTCGTAGGAATGAAAGGGGCCGCTTCAGCAATACATCAATTCATTTTGGAAGCGATCGTATTGAATTTCACGAGGTCTTGGGGTTTTGGGATTTTTAGGGTATATTGGGTTTCAAAATCAAAATGCATCATTTCGAGCAACCTGCGCGCAGAAAGGTCGTGAGGAAAAGTGTTGAATGTTGTGATTTTTGTTGAATCAGTGGTCCACAGGTCCAACTGGCGTTCCAGAGAAACTGAAACAGTCGAAAACAGTCGGAAACGGTCGGAAACAGTCGGAAACAGTCGGGAGCGGCCCGGCCTGATCATGCCAAAATTGTCAATCCGCATTTTTTTTGCAAAAAAAAAACTTTCCGCGCAATCCCATTTTTTTTGAAAGTGCAACGGGAAACAGTTGGAAACAGTTGGGGCTCGTACCTTTGACTCGGCAAAAAAAGAGCTATTTAAAACCCGTTTATAAAGAAAATGAACCTTAAATGGTTTTAAATAGCTCGTTTTTTGCCGAGTCAAAGGTACGAGCCCCAACTGTTTCCAACTGTTTCCCGTTGCACTTTCAAAGAAAAATGGGATTGCGCGGAAAGTTTTTTTTTTGCAAAAAAAATACGGATTGATAATTTTGGCATGATCGGGCCGGGCCGCTCCCGATTGTTTCCGACTGTTTCCGACCGTTTCCGACTGTTTCCGACTGTTTCAGTTTCTCTGGAACGCCAGTTGGACCTGTGGACCACTGATTCAACAAAAATCACAACATTCAACACTTTTCCTCACGACCCTTCTGCGCGCAGGTTGCTCGAAATGATGCATTTTGACTTTGAGACCCAATATACCCTAAAAATCCCAAAACCCCAAGACCTCGTGAAATTTAACAAGCGATCGAGGCAATGATCATGCGCAAACAACAAGGGCTGAACATAATATCCTTTGTATGCACGCACGCATGCATGCAGCATGAAAACAGGCGTTCTCCAGCGCATAGAAAAGCAATACACCTAAGCAAACATCTTGGCATAGAAAGAACAATCACTTCCAGCCACTTCAGGTTCCACAATGCCTACAATAAATATCATACATACATACATATTGGCTACTCAAGCCACTTTTCTTGCTCAAAAAAATGGTTTCGGATAACTCGCTTTCTTCCACCTCGGGCCTGGGATTGTGAAACAAATCCAGCAGGGAATCGCACAAAGGCGATTCACAAGTTGTTTGGCCCACCGACTTGCCAATTGGACCTGCCCCTGGGGTTGAATCATGGGATCCGATATGATCCGATCATCTTTTTTTTAGTGAACGTGGGAAACGAGATACAATGGAGACATATGCAATTACGGCCATATGCCTTGGAAAAAATCACATTTAATATAGATAAACGGGTAATTCAGGCATACAAAACCACTACATGGTTTCTTGCAGGATAAATGGGTACTATAGTTGTCAACTGCAAATTCCGCATGACGTTCATCATCTCCTACTCCTAAATCATGCTGCCCACAGAATCAAGGTGTGTCAAAATGAAGTTGCCACCTTTGAGTTCGAAACAACAAAGGGGGTGCAAGCGACAATGGCAATAGTATACTTCACACTGAGAAATATGAAAATTATTTGGGCTCATCATTCCGTGTTCTGGAACCAGGAAAACATATTGAAACCACATGAACCTAGGGTGTTCACACCCAAATATATTTGTTTCCTGTAGATGTTCTGTCATCCAGTGCTGGGATGGTTCTCGCAGCCGCTGGCTGGTCCACATCCTGATATAGCCCCCTCCTGCGGGCATTTATTACCAGGGTTCTATAGGGTTCTGCCCGCCACCACACAAAGCCTTAAAAGACTTCACCGTACTTAAGCCTTCACCAAATATGAGCAGCGCCAACTTAACTTCTGTCCGCTCCAAACCTACCGTTCCGCTATACATATATAAATGTATAAATTTAAATCTATATTTACATGTCTTTATTTAAATCAAAACATAAATTTAAATAAATAAATAAATATATATATATATATGTATATGTATATATGTATGTACCGAGTTTCTGGTTAAACGTATATGTGACATTCGTGAATATTACAATGAGATTTACCAGTAGTACCGCGCAAGGGAGTGACGGAAATTTCAAAATTAGGAAACTATAGGGGAGGTGAGTTTTTGTGATGCATGGATGGCAGAGCGAGAGCGAGCCCACTGATGGATCGAAAGGTGGTTGAGGCTCTGAGTCTCTCCCTCTCTCTCTCTCTAACGCTCACTCCAACTCCAACCCTAACTCCAACTCTAACTCTATCTGTCACCTTCTCTCTGTGTCTCTCTACCTCTCCCTCCGTCTATCTATCTGTCTATCTAGCTATCTCTTGTGTAGTTTAGTTGCAGTTGTAATTGGAATTGTACTTGTAGTTGTAGTGCAGTGTAGTCTGGTGTAGTGTAGTGTAGCGTCGTGTAGTGCACTGTACCGTGGTGTATTGTAGTGTAGTTGTAGTCTGGTGTAGTTGTGGTTGTAGTTGTAGCTGTGCAGTAGGTGTAGTGTAATGCAGTGGAGTGTAGTGCAGTCCAGATCTTCAAACGTCCCACGCCTGTCATCGTTTTTGCACTTGCTAGGAAACAGTCACGTTTTGCTCACTTTTGGCAAGGTGCACAACCTATTGCCCCTGCCCCACAAAAAGACAGTTCAACATCGAAAAGTGGTCCAAACATGTGGTGTATATGTGGCGTTTTTACCATTTTCACTTTAGAATGTGCTTCGCGCACTTTTTCGACATCCCAACTGCCAAGAGTGGTCCGAGACCGTCAGCCATTAATACTTTTGACTTGCGAACGTGCTCCGCGCCACAACAACGTGCACTTTTCGACATCTCAACCTTCAAAATTGGTCCGGATGTGTAAGTGTTTTTGCATGTTGATTTCAAAACGTGGTTCGCGCCACAGCCGCGTGCACTTTTTCAATGACTCAACTTCTAAAAGCGCTCCGATGCTGAGGTGCTTTTCACCTGTGCACTTCGAAGTGTGCTTCGCGCCACAGCAGCACCCACTATTTGAGCATCTCAACTTGCAAAAGTGCTCCAGGAATGGTGTGTTTTGCACGTTGTGCATTCGAATTTTGCTTTGCGCCACAACGGCGTGCACTTTTTCGACATCTCAATTCCTACCAGTCTCAGAAGCTGACGTGCTTTGTGCATTTTGACTTCGATATGCGCTTTGCACCACAACGGCGTGTACTTTTTCGACATCTCAATTCCTACCAGTGCTCAGAAGCTGACGTGCTTTGTTCATTTTGACTTCGAAATGTGCTTTGCGCCACAACGGCGTGCACTTTTTCGACATCTCAATTCCTACCAGTGCTCAGAAGCTGACGTGCTTTCTTCATTTTGACTTCGAAATGTGCTTTGCACCACAACGGCGTGCACTTTTTCGAAATCTCAATTCCTACCTGACGTACTTTGTTCATTTTGACTTCAAAATGTGCTTTGCGCCACAAAGGCGTCCAATTTTTAATCTCTCATCTGGCCAAATGGCTCCGCACCCACCGCTTGAGCGAGCCTACTTTTCGAGCCTCGGAGCCACAAAATAGCGGGAAAATGGCGCTTCGCGACTTTTCTACCTTTTCGCGCGCCTTGATCTTCTTTCTTCTGGTTCTTTCTCTTCCCTGACTCTTCCCACCTCTTCTGCTTCATCTGTCCATATTGTCGGAAGTTTGACTTCCAAACTTCCTTCGATAATCCACGTGGCTTCGTATGATATAATTACTGTAATCACCCCCAAATCTCATGGTTGATCATAATTTCTTCCACTCAAATCTTGTCATAAAGTTTTTTTTTTTTAATGTTGTTTTTCTCCAAAGAATCGCATCAACCCCCGCAGTCCATCAATGGCGCGGCAAGCTGAATCACTTTTCACTGGCGAGGTCGGGAACAAAGGTCTCCCGGAAGACGGTCTTCTCAATCCTGGCAGAAAGTGGTCCTGTTAAACTCGCGAGTTCTGCAGGAAAACATGTCGTTCCATGATTCACAATTGTGATATCTATATATTATATTGATTTACCTATATCCTATATCTAAATGTGTATGTGTATATATATATATACATAAATGTAGAATCATATTATATAGATACTCAAACTGGTTAAGGCTAGGGGTTGCAAATGAGCATGGCCTATGTAGCCGTCATATGCTAGCCGGGCAGTTCTTGGGGATCTAGTCCTCTCGCACATCCTGGTCCCAAAAAAGGCGAGATATGGGGTTTTCTTAAAATGGGGGATCCCAAAACCATAGGAACATTAAATACTACTGTAACATGGTCTAGTTTTGGCTGGATGATTGCGTGTACCCCCATTTCACGAAAGATAACGTAAGAGAACAAATCCGCGACCGATAATACTCAAGCCACAGCTTGAAAATCAAGTGAAACATCACCAATCTCGTCTCCAAGTCTCCAGGGCCTAAACAGCTCATACAAGAAGTCATGAAAGACCCACCTTCCAACCATGCAGCTCCCCCCACCTGTAGATCTCTGTGACCGTGTCTCCAGCGACCTGTGCTGCCAACATATCATCCACTTGCACCTGCAAGGCGATGAGATCGTCTAGGACAGGTCTTCGATGATGCCCCAGGGCTGCCAATTCTACCATTAAACATCCCCCAAAGACTCACCAGATTTTCTGGATAGAAATGGGTGACATTGAACTATTTGAAACCCTCCAAACTTGGAGGTTTGTAAAATTGGGCTTACCCATGCAGAATTGTCCCACAGAACCCCTGGATGCACCCCAGACATTCAGTAAATCCACCACTAAACCAAGTAATTAGGCGATTCTTCAGACTCCGGTAATCTTCAGAAGTAGCGAAAATCATGGAACTGAGCCATCTACACCATACTCCCCATTTTTCTGGGTGAAGCCTGCGTCAAACTAAGCTTCGAACCACACAAGGAGTGCCCCATTTGGCCATGAAGCGCTTGAACGGGCAATGCCTGCGGCTGGAACAAAAGCAGCCACACACACACACACATATATACAGGGAAAAAGTGCAATTTTTCAATAACCTGAAAGGTTCGGCTACCAGACCGGGCCTGCGAAGAAGCTCGTCAGTGGCTTTCAAGGCCTTGATCCGAGTACGCGACCTCAAAAACGGGAAACGTGATGGGTCCAGCATTTCTGGCTGAACCATGCTGAACCCCCATCAATATGATGGAGGTTTCAATGGTCTGAATGGGAAAATATGGGAAAATAGGTTATAAATGGATAGAAATGGTGGATGTTCCATGATTTTTCATTGCCATGTTTGATTACCGGAGGATATGGGGTTTTGTTTCCTGGCTCTGCGTGTCCCCTATCAACTGGATTTATTACCCCTTCACGCCTGGGATTCATAATAATATCATGCCTTACTAATTTAATCAAGTGAACAGCTCTTAGAGGGTTCCCAAACAAATCATGAACGTTAGACATCAGCCTTTCCTACTGAACATAGTGTTCCCCCAAGCAAATTTGGAGCATCAGCATCATTCTCCCAATGAAAATGGCCATGACCCGCCTGTAGCAGCAGAAACCTTCAGCGCTGAGTTGTGAAGCATCAGGACGACCACTCGGGATTTCCATAGGGTTCGTCAAGTCCTGGGATACAGCTGGGGTGTCAAGATGTCAAGATCCTAAAATGGAGGTGTTCTGTCACTGTATTGGATATCTGTACCATATCGTACGAGGTATGCCATATCAAGCCATGTGTCATATCATGTTTTGGGATATCTCCTTAGGCCTTAACTAATATGGATTATTATGGTAGGTACCTCCAATTCGGTACACTACCTGAGCCATGTGGGATGGCGATACGCTGAGATCCTGCACCCGCTGCAGGGTACCTGTTGAGCCAATCAAGATCCCCGTGAAGTCTCAACAAAATCTTCAGCTTTAATCTGTATATATACATGTGTAATATATATATATATATATATGTGTGTAAGCATATGCATATGTATATATATATATATATAATAAAAAAAACTTCATATCTATCTATCTATCTATCAATCTATCTATCTATCTATCTATCTATTGATCTATCGCTCTATGGATCTATGGATCTATGGATCTATGGATCTACCTATCTACCTATCTACCTATCTACCTATCTATCTACCTATCTATCTACCTATCTATCTATCTATCTATCTATCTATCTATGTACCTATGTATCTATGTATCTATGTATCTATGTATCTATCTACCTATCTACCTATCTACCTATCTACCTATCTACCTATCTACCTACCTATCTATCTATCTATCCATCTATCTATCCATCTATCTATCCATCTATCTAATCTAATCTAATTTAATCTCATCTAATCTAATCTATCTAATCTATCTTATCTATCTTATCTATCTTATCTATCGATCTATGGATCTATCGATCGATCTATCAATCTATCGATCTATCTATCGATCTATCGATCTGTCGATCTATCAATCAATCATTCTAGTCTATTCTATTCTATTCTATGCTAGTCTATCTATCTGAATCTATCTGAATCTATCTGAATCTATCTGAATCTATCTGAATCTATCTGAATCTATCTGAATCTATCTGAATCTATCTGAATCTATCTGAATCTATCTGAATCTATCTGAATCTATCTGAATCTATCTGAATCTATCTGAAACTATCTGAAACTATCTGAAACTATCTGAATCTATCTGAATCTATCTGAATCTATCTGAATCTATCTGAATCTATCTGAATCTATATGAATCTATCTGAATCTATCTGAATCTATCTGAATCTATCTGAATCTATCTGAATCTATCTGAATCTGTCTGAATCTATCTGAATCTATCTGAATCAATCCATCTATCTATAGTTTTATCTATATTTTTATCTATCTATCTATCTATCTATCTATCTATGTCAAAGTTATCTATCAAAGTTATCTATCAAACCTATCTAGGCTATCTAATCTATCTAATCTATCTACCTAATCTATCTATCTAATCAATCTATCTAATCTATCTAATCTATCTAATCTATCTAATCTAATCTATCTAATCTATCTAATCTATCTAACCTGAATCTAACCTATCTAATCTATCTAATTATCTACATAATTATATATCTAATTATACGTATGTCTGATTATCTATCTATCTATCCATCTATCCATCTATCCATCTATCCATCTATCCATCTATCCATCTATCCATCTATCCATCTATCCATCTATCCATCTATCCATCTATCCATCTATCTATCTATCTATCTATTATCTATTTGTTTAGCTATATGTACACATTCATACATGTATAAAGGCATCATTATGTATACAAGTGTGCACAAGTCTAAACATACTATGGCATCAAGTTCAATCAACTTTGGGAAAAAAAATGCTCGATTTGAGTTTGAGCATGCCAATCATATCCATCTGCAAACCAAATCTAAAGCGACCCAACGGCCCGACGGTAAACCTTCTCCAATATGTTGGTCAGTGAAATCACCTCGAGGTCACACCAAACCGTTTGCACATTCCCTGACCAGCCAAGCTTCATATGCCTCAGACGCACGAGTTTTGGACAAGATGTAGTTCTCCTTCCACTTGGTGTTGGCTTGCCTCGAGTATTTACCATTTCCGCAACTACAATAGCTCCTACACCAGTTCCGCAACTGCCAACTTGCAGCTCGAGGTCAATCACGGCATCAATTTGTGCTGCTTGTGCTGCTTCTCTTTGTATCGTGCCCTGAATCTGGGATTGTTTCAAATCCTTGAAAATGATCCCTTGATCGTCCACCTGTGGTGAATGTATAATGTATGGTCTCTTTACCAACAAAAAATACACAATGGGATACAATTTACAGTATTAACATGTATTAACCATGTGTTTTTTCCCTACCTATGGCTTGTCATCACCAATAAATTAGCTACAAGTCATTATACGTCAGGCGATTTGCTTCATGGCTTGGCCGTTGCAGCTGGGTTGCACTACGAAGTCGCTTTCCTGTGCAATGTTCCGCGTCTCTTCTTTTCCGTTGACCATGGTGGTGATCACCTCGCCTGGCCATTTTCATTAGGATCATCAGCTGAAACCACCCAGCAAAGAACCCATGCCTAGGGCCTAGGCTTGCCATGTTGGATCAAAATCGCCTCCGCCTTTTGCACTCATTGGCGTGCATGAAAGCATCATCCAGTCAAAACAAGATGAACAAGTATTCAAACGGATGGGCATTGGGGATTCCACCATTTCAAATTCGGAAATTCGACTCATTCGATGGTGTTTCAATATTTTTTGCGAAAAAACCCATGGTAAAAGCCATCCAATGGCTGTCGTTGCTTATGCACTTTGCCTGGCTTCGCAGGACGAAGAAAGGCAAAGGCCACTTTGCGATACCATTGCCTCGCACATGGATGCCATGGGGTCAAAATTCCATGGTTCGGTTCCAGTCACCACCAACCAGCCATCTTGGAGTAGGATAGCTGGATGTGACTGATACCTACATTATCCAAAAAAAAAGCCTTTGGAAGAACTGGGTGATAAGGATAGATCTGCATAGTTTTGTTCTGTCTTGTTGGGTGGTGTGGGTCTAACAAAGTGAGGAACAAAAAATGCAGGACCTGACACCGATGGGATCCACATGGGATGTCATGGCACAAGTGTCTTTTCCATTGCCACATCCACACGTGAACTAATCCCCGCCGTAATTCACCATATGTTTGCTATATATATTTAAGTTGGGCAAAAAATTAGGGCAAAAAAAACCTCCAGTACAATCCATGTATATATATATAGTATTTGAATGTATTTGATAGCAGATAGCATTTATAGATGGTTTTTTCCCCCTACAAAAAAACCTCCCGAGCGCTGAGTTCGGGGATTTGCTGAGCTGCCCATTGGTCAGCATCTCATGGCTGATTCGGCGGATCAACTCCTGGCAAGGAAGGCCGTCGAAGGTTGGAAGGTCGGTTTAGCCATGGATATAACGATAAAAACCAGGACTGGGATGTGGTGTGGATATAACTTATGATATAACTGATATACATATTCCTAGCCAGGTGGGATGACTAGCCATATTATCATCATATTCCCAGTCCTTTAATCAATGTTCACAGACATTCGCCACACAAGTCGTCCTTGGATCAAACGAATTTTCTCAGCTTAGGCACGCGACAAGATGACAAGTCCTTGGATCCTTGACTTTCGATGCATGGCCACGCACATTTCAGCGTTTCCACCGTTTCCACCCCCCAAAAAAAACTTGGTAATATTATCACTTGGTAATATATATATATACAAAACCCATTATATGTATATATAAACCATGGGAATTTTGAAAGACCCACTCAAAGTGCGGTCCGCAACATCGCAAAGAACATTCTGCAGAAAGATGGCGCCCCATCCGCAAAAAAAAGAAAGCCAAGTGAAGATCATGAACCTAAATAAGGATGGGGCAACTAAATAAAACCCAGCCATCATCTCAGACTTTGATATTTTCTTGGTCAAAACGCAAAAAAAATTGCCTGGATAAAACGCGTTGTCTTTTTTTGGGTCAAATGCAATATATCATTCCAATGTTTTTATATGTTTTTGACATGAAATCAGATGTTTCCTGGCATAATCCATCCCCTTGTAGGTTGGGAGGGTCGTCGACATGCCCAGGGAAACATCCCCATAAAATGGAGATGATAATCCCTATCCCATGACGGATCCATGGTGCTGCTATATATGGTAACATGGATCCCATCAGTATACCCCAAATGTTAGCATATATACAATACATGGATCCTATGGGTATTAGTTTGCTGTGAAAATCCCCAAGCTGTTTCCCGAGTTGACACGTGCCTCCTGGGAGCACAGCTCGGGTGCTTGAGGCAAAAAGGTGGGCGGCTCGCTGTCGAAGAGGATCACGGCGTTGTCCTGGCGCCCAACCCGGGTTGAGGTACTGAACTTGGGTTGAGGGATATATAGGGATATAACGAACTAATTAATGGGTTTTTACGTGTGTATATATATACATATATATATATATCACTTTATGAATCAATGAATATATATATATATATCAATTTAAACAAAACGGTGGTTATAAGTTCTTTCCCAGATTATGTACGTAGCATATTCAAGCTAGATGCAGTTGCTCACAACTGACATATGGTGTATGTTTTTTTCAATATTCATCTTAAGTTGTTTTATTAGGGCGCCAACTGGGGAATACTGGGGATGGTCATTTGATGCCCATGAATTGGCCTTGGAACTGGGATCCCGAGAAACCGAGTAAGTCATTGCTTGGTCATTGGCCCCGATTTTTCAGGGAACGGCGGAAAAACGAAAAGCGTGTTTTACCATGAGTTTTATCATGAGATGTTGGGCATTTTTTAATTGATCATTCAAGGATCCCGCAAAACATATTGTCAAAAGATGTCCGCACACATATTTGGTGCCCTAAGGCTAGCTCGCAATTCTGCAATTCGCTGTGCCTCTATCTTCTCACCATGTAGGTCTGGATCCACTGTAATTATCTAATTTTCCTTCGAATTCAACCATTTGAATGCGAAGCCAATTTGGCCTTACATTTTGATGTGAGCAGTATTCTGTCAATTTGTCTCCAAGACGGCTCATACGCAATGATTCACCTTGCGTTTCACCCAGACTTGAGCTCACGTGAATTGAGTATCGTTAATATTCCCACATCAATTAATGGCCAGAATTCAGAGGGAGTCGTATCTATGGGATGGAATGCTATGGGTCAAGTTTGGACTGAAACATGTCCCCAAATGGAAAAATTCTGTCGTCCCCGAGGTCTTCAAAGGCATATCTGTCAGATCTCAGACTCTTCGGGAAATCCATGTATCAAATCTATAATAATTAATCAAAACTTGATGCATACCCTCTGGTAATCAAACGTCGCTGGCCGGATGATCGCCTGTAAATAGGTTTAGTTCGCGAAAAATCATCGAAGTAAATGGTGGAATTTCCAGCAAGAACAACGTTTGATTCCTGGAGGGTGACCAATCAAATCTTAGCAGCAAAAACAACAAAAATGGGTGGATGCCCAAAATCCTTGGGAAAACACACCAGGTTTTGACCAAATCCCACGGCCATCGGCCATCGTCAATATCGTCCACGCCTCGCGGTTCTTTTTCGCATCCTCCGGACGCCGTTCGAGGCACGCCTGCTTGCTGCTACACATCCTGGCGCGTAGCAACCGGGGGAAAGGCCATGGGATCTGTCTGTCATGGGGGATGTCGTGGTGATTCTCCCATTGTCATGGTGATCACTCGGCAACATGGATGAACATGGCCCGTTGTGTTCGATGACCCAGGTTGATTTACCTATTGCAAATGGTGAGCAAACTATGACATTACCAGATGGTATACACCCCATGATTATGGCAATGTAAATTCGGAAGGACCTTTGAAACCATGGCATTTCCCGTTTCAGAGAAACTCGAGGGGCTGGGATGCGCAACCCAAGATCCTTATCTGGTATAATTTGAGTTCCGGATTCTTTTTCGTTCCAGGACTGATGGAATTTTCCCGAGGTATATATATATATAATTATTTATTTATTTATTTATTTATATTTATATATTTATAATTTATATTATGCATAAATAAATAAATATATATATATATATAATTATATGTTATGTATGTGTATGTATATATATATATTGTGGGACATAATTACTCCATATACATACCCCAATCCCTCAGCGAATTGATTCGTGAGAAAATCTTGCCAAAAGGCATGGTGAAATTAGCCTTAAGTTTTGTTGGGCACTCCCGTGGAGCTTCCTTGCAAGTTCCGGTGAGTTGATGACAAACATTAAACCTAGGTCTAAGGGTCACAACATACAACTATCAATGCAAGTGGGTGACGACGTTGGGAAGCTATGTAAAAATAGCCATATGTTAAGCTACTGTATGTGCTCATTTCGGATTTCTCTGGTGGTCCGCACTCATGTGGCTAAAGCCAATGTATGTATATAGTAAATATGCACACAATTTACACGTGTATGACATGTGTATACACATAATTACAGTATAGAATATTATATAATCATTCTTAAATATCCGCTATTTTGACATGTGTTGACCATTGTCTTTACAACATCAGCTGGAGCAACAACATTTGCAACAAAAATCGAGGCAACTGACGCGACGCTGCGCAAGCCTCAATAACAGCACTTCAGGATCTGCACTGCTCCATTGTCCCTGATCCGGCAGAAATTCCATGGGATACAAAGTGCAATGCTTGGGGGGTGCAGTGGAGATGATAAATGGATACAACAGTGATCTCACACTTATATAATTAGTATTATACAGTATAACCACAACTGCAATAACCTCTATAACTATGTATATATATATATGTATATATCCACTTATAACTGGAACTGTGCCCACCAAGTAGAATTTTTGTAATTAAGCCTGAACAATTGGATGGCAAAGAGTACAAGCTAGCTCTAGTGAGCAATTAATGGTAGCATTTCGAAACTTACTAAAACATCAGAGAGCGAAGGCAAACCATACCCACCAACCGATGCCCACGTGTCTCACCGTGGCGCAAGTGACCCATGGAAAATCTAGCAATGAACCATCACATAGAATTCAACAAAAGAAACAGCCTATTGGATACAGGATACAGATCAATCATCTACATCCATCTACATTCCTAGGTAATCCCAGAGGATTGTTCCTGCCTGGATGGTGATCGCATCAATTCGCACTGTCACACAGTCACCCGCTTCTGCAGTGCGCGCCTCAGGGGTAGATGTCAACCCTGGATTTTGCTAAAGCCTGGTTGATTAATTGTGGTGGTTACCCCAAATAGTGATTTTTATGGCTACTGAAATGGTACCCCCCAATTAATCCGGGGGTTTATTAATCCGGGGTTGACATTAGATGTGACTCTCTCTCTCTCTTCCTCATCTCTCTCTCCCTACACAATTTACCAGAATTTGTGAACTTGAACATCTTGAACAGAACAATTCACTGGATTGGTTTAAGGGAAAATCTACAGGAAACCATGGTTTTTACCATCAAATATAGGGCTTTCCTGTAAATTTTCCCATCATCCAATTCTATGAACAATGGAACAGATTGAAAAGGGACCAACCACATTGGATTCGACAAAAAGGTACACACCAGGACCGGGCCGGCAATGCGACGGCAAGTTGCTGGCCACAACTTCCGGGCGCAACGGTAGATCTCGGCCAAAATCTCCAAACGACGCAACGGGCTATCTGTTCCCATCCTGCCATGGCATGGCTACGCTTGGGTACCTATACGGGTCAAGTTGATCGATTGAGTAACTTCTAAAATTTGGACACCAATGACTCAATACTACAATACTAAATTGTATCTAAATTGTTCATGTTGGATAGATTTTGTTAGTCAATAATTCACGAGCCATCTGAATTCCGGACAACATCATTCCGAGTCGTAGACACATTGGAATAATAACGTGGCTGGGTCATGTCGGGGAGGGATTGCAATGCCGTCCCTTTGGGTAAGGGAATGGGACAACCAGCGGAGTGGGATAACACCGTGAATCAACGCAGCTTGTCCAGGCAGGTCCTCTGCAAGAATGCAGGCCCGTAGTAGACCAGAAATGCTGGCCCCACCAGCTCTTGTCTTACCTGAGGGTGAATGGCTGGACATCTACTAGATTCATCTAGATTCTAGATGTGGTACAACAACTCTCGGCAATAGTTGGCTTTATTTGGCTCATAGCTTTGTATCTGTCTCGGTGATTTTGACACCTGCTTCCAGTGGATCTGCAAGAGATGGCGATCCTCACCAGCGGCCACCAAACCTTTTGGGGCACACCCCAAAACTTACCCTCTGGTTATGACTAACATAGCCATGGGAAATGGTCCATTTATAGATGGTTTACCGTTCTTAAAAATGGTGGATCTTTCCATGGCTATGTTAAATAACCAGATGGTCGTAATTTCTAGTCTTAGGCTTGCTTTATGGCTTCGAATTCTCCACACTGCACTTATGGCTCAGAATTTTCCACACGAGTACCGCATTTAGTTTCTGATGGGAACTGAGCGAACTTTGCCATAAGAGTTGTGGGATGCAGCTCTCTGGGAGTTCTTGTTGACCGGCACAAAAGTCGGTCCTCTTCATCTGGTTATGTCTGGTGCTTTCAACCCATCCCTTAAAACAAACGAGCACGTCAATTTGGTATCACCATCCCATTTCTAGGGTGCAAAATCAAACATCTTTGAAACCACCAACCAGCTATAACCATGGTACTATCCCCAATGGTCGAGCCCCCAATCAGCTCACGTCCCAACAACCAGGATGCAGAATCGGGCACAAAGCCCTTGCTGAAACTTTGTCTCTCGGCACCTTCAAGGCGAATTCGTTGCTGAGCGCTTCGATGGGCTGTGGGATTAGTTAGGATTAGTTCTGGTTTATAACTGACACAAACATGGAGTATAATAACATCTATTATAACCAGTTACTAACCACCTCACTCATCCCAAGGCCAATCGAAGTGCAACGTAGATCTGCAAAATTCCGTAAGTCATGGTATGGCTTGGGGCAGATGCACAAAGCATATGACACGAGCATTTGGAGATACCATGATCAGGACGTGCTGGAAGCTCCAAGCAACAATTGTTTGCGAGGTGCAGCAAGCTGCTGACATCACGCCAATTCGCTCTGTTCATAGCCAACATGGTTGGTTGGTGGTTGCACTAACCAGTGCAATGAGGTTCATTGGGTAAAGGCAATGGCGTAATCCCCGCATCTGGAAATCAAGATTGACCTATAGTCATCCCCAAAAAGAAAGAAAAGTGAATCTTCGCTTTTTGTCCAGGGAATTTATATGTTTGGGGGTGACTCTCTTTATATATATATATATATATTTATATATGTATATATATAGTATATATATATATATTACAGAAGGATGTTCATCCAGTTTCACCAATCCAAATTCCCCAAACATCAGAAGTAGATCCCCGGCCGCCAAGCCATTGGCTTCCCGACCGGTGCGTGCCATCTCCACACTCAGAACCTGACAGTGACATCTGGCTGCAACTGTGGTTTTACCCTCTGCTAACTAACAGTTGGCTGGAGAATCACCGCCTAAACAGGTAAATCAACTATCAATGGGCCATGTTCATCCATTTTCCATGCTATCTTAGCTTGGCCAGAAGGTAAGATCCCTGGTCCAAAAGTTTGGTTGTCCTGGTCCAGCCATTGGGGATTGGATTCCTCCTGACTAATATGTAAACCTCTGCTGATTGGAGTTCTTGCTTATCCATTATGAAAAGGATAGACTCGGGTGAATCCCAGAATATATGCATCTAGGATCATCTAGGCATATTTGTATTTATATATTTATTTATATGTTCATTCACCTGTGCATGAAAACGATGCGTATCTATGAATCTATAATTAAAATTACTTACAGAATCCTAATCTCATACATCTAGATGGGGGGGTTCTTTAAAATTGGGGATCCCCAATTTCCAATGGGTTTCAATACTAAAGGGGTCAATATTCAAAGAGCTACTCCCCAGGAAACCTCCATATCGATCTGCAGAGAATTTCCAACGGCCTCCTGGTCCTCAGGAGACAGTTTCTCAAAGGCATCCAGTACGACCTTCGCATTGCCTTGAGCCTCGGCGACTGCTGCTGTCCACGAGTCCATTCCAGTTTTTTCTGATTGCTGCTACTATGGATAGTTGTTGTTTTACACGCAAAAAAAAAGCAGACAGCACAATTGAAACAAGGGCCATGTGCTGTCAGTTCTGAGATGTTCCAAGTCATATATTATATATATATATTCCTCCAATCCACTCAGGATTTGTAGGCGCGACAGGGAATAGTGTGGTTATTTCAAGTTATATCTTAAGACAAATTATGATTCATTGTCACATGTGGATGCCTCGATACTCTTTTGAAATATCACATGGGGGAATCCGGCACCCAGCTATTAAGCCACATCCCCAAATCATCATGGTGTAACTGCCAACAAAAACGTAGCTATCACCCACTTACAAATGGTGTCCCCCCGGAATGTATGGGGCTGTCTCATCTGGTCTCAACGCTTGAAAACCCACAAGGGATATCATCGTACTTCGATTTTTTTCATGACCACTGGGTGTTACCATCATTTTTACATAAACCCATTTCGGCTCAACCAGTCTGAAAACCATCATCTGCTCTGGTTTAAAGCCTCATCATATCCGATTGGTCCATTACATTGCCAATCTTAGATACCCTGCAAAAAACTAAATTCTTTGCTGGTTAGTAGATAATCCTATTGATACCAAAAGACTAAAGTATCCATGTAAGATTGATCTAGATTGGTTCCCCAATCTGTCGCTTACCATGAGAAAAAAACCAGCGGGAAAGTCCAGCACTGAGTCCCCGAGCCATGCACAATAACCTGGCTTTGGCCAGGGCGTGCGGTCCCGCCTCCAGGGTGCCCATCGAGGGGCGATGATCTTTCCATCGGTCCTGCGGAGAAACTTCTGGGAGAAAATGACCGATATATTACCCATAGGATCCATGGTGCTGCTATATATGGTAACATTTACCATCACTATACCCCAAATGTTAGCATATATACCATACATGGATCCTATGGGTTATGATATATTCAAGCGAAAAGACGCATATTGAAATTCCAAGGGGTGTTGATAGAGATATCAATGATATAAGTTGTATGATATGAGGGCGAAGTTTAGATGTCCCACATCGCCGAACTTCGGCCAGGTGACGCTGGGGATGTGAGCAGATGTCGGACGCGTCCCACAGCCGTTGATTTTGGAGGTCAATGAGATGATTCAATGCGCAGTGCCGTTGTGTTTGGCGATCCAGGCTTGCAGTTTGCATTGAAATGGCTGCTTCCATGCTTGTGATTGCAGCCCAGCCTTGGTTGATGCAGTTCCAGATTTGCAAGCCAGTGACTGGAGACTGCCGTCAAAATTGCTTCGTCAAGGTGACGCAGGTGACGCTGGTGAGGATGGAATCGCACAAAAGTATATAGTATTGTGCAAGCCTTGGCTTTGTAGTACAAATGTAGTACTGGGAAATATGTTGTGCAAACTTTGCAGCACGTAGTACTTGGAACTAATTCGTCCAAGTTTTGTAGTAATTACTGAGAATTGAGAACTACTTTGTCCAAACTTTGTAGTACAAAGTAGTACTGGAAAATATGTTGTGCAAGCTTTGCATAGCTTTGCAGTACATAGTGCTGGGAAGCACTTTGTGCAAGCTTTGGAGTAGAAGGTAGTACTGGAAAGTGCTTCTTTGTACCTTTAGAATGAAGTTGTGCTGGAAAGTGCTTGGTGCAAGCTTTGTAGTACAATGTAGCACTGGGGAGCTTTGTAGTACAAAGTAGTACGGAACTACTTTGTCCAAACTTTGTAGTTCGAAGTAGTCCTGAGAAACATGTTGTGCAAGCTTTGCAGTACATAGTACTGGGAAGTACTTTGTGTAATCTTTGCAGTAGAATGTAGTACTGGGAAGTACTTTGTACCTTGTAGAACAAAGTTGTACTGGGAAGTGCTTTGTGCAAGCTTTGTAATACAAAGTTGTACTGTGAAGTGCTTTGCGCAAGCTTTGTCGGACACAGTACTACTGGAGAGTATTTTGTGCAAGTCTTGCAGTACGAAGTAGTACTGAGAAGTGCTTTGTGCAAGCTTTGTAGTACAAAGTTGTACTGTGAAGTGCTTTGCGCAAGCTTTGTCGGACACAGTACTACTGGAGAGTATTTTGTGCAAGTCTTGCAGTACGAAGTAGTACTGAGAAGTGCTTTGTGCAAGCTTTGTAGTACAAAGTTGTACTGTGAAGTGCTTTGCGCAACCTTTGAACTACGAAGTAGTGCAACTACTGTGTGCAGAGTTTGTAGTACCAAGTAGTACTGGGAAGTATTTATTTTGTGCAAGCTTTGCAGTGCAGAGTAGTACTGGGCAGTACTGTGCAAGTTTGTCGTAGTACTGGGGAGTACTTTGTGCAAGTCTTGTGGTACAAAGGATTGGATTTTGCTAGCAAATTACGAAAATGTCAAGAGAAAGAGATGCCAGGGAAAAAAGCCAAGAGAAAAACATTCATGAGAATGAACAACCACTTCGAGACAAAGGGATATGTATGCCAAGATAGAAGGTCTCACGGCAAAACAAATTAACATAAATTAACAGAAAGGGGTCAGGCAAGGTCTCAAGAAAACGAGATGCCAAAAGATAGGGATGTCAAGAGAAAGAGACGTCAACGGAAAGCGGCTGAAAAGACATCGGTGTCAAGAGACAGCGATGACATCAGAAAACAAAAAAAAACAATCAGGAGAGAAGAGTGTGTGTCGACAGGAAGGGCTGTCAAGATCCAGAGATGACAAAGGCAAACTGCATCAAGAGAAAGTGGCATCATCAGAAAAGGAAAGCGTTCCAAGAGATCATGCAGTCAACGGCCGTGACAGCCAGGCGGAAACGGGCGGTCAAACGTCGTTCCTTTAGGCTGCCCCTTTTCTTTATAGGCTTCCCACGGCTTCCCCCATTTGGTAACTTCCGTCACCGGTCTTGCCCGGGCTGTACTGGTATGGGATATGTTCGATACAACGGGGAAATTGATGTTCAGGGTGTGATGCAACGAGATGCGATTCTCGTCACAACCGGTTACTTGGCATGTGTTTTATTGGTGAATTCTTCATTGATTAGACACAGACCCAAGTAACAGGGAGCAAACATAACAACCTAAACCATAGTAAAACCCTAGTAGATTAAACATGATTAAACATGATAGATTAAACAACAAACATAGCAGCTGATAGATTAAACATGATTAAACCCTAGTAGATGAGGCCCCCCAGTTATGTTTGTTGGAAGTTTGTTGGTTTACAAAAACCATTGGCTGGTTCGGTATATCCACTTACACTGCCATCCCGTCCTTCAGGTAGCTCTCCATGACCTCCGTCTCGCTACGATCCGCCAGCTGCTGAATGTACCTGGCACCGTGCTGGCGCCGTCCGTTAAGGGGCCCAAGAGCCTGGCAATGAAGGTAACCAACCAGAAACCTTGGTATTACATATAAGTTATTCATCACTCAGCAGATTGCTGGCGCAGCTCTCATGGCATCTGAACAACTTCTCATGGGACCCCATGAACCAAGCTGTGGTTTTCATATGATCCAGCGTTGGGATGTTCGATCTGTGTCGGTATTAATTGCAGCTGTATGGGCTCACAATATCTTACAATTGCGATCAAAATGAATACACATCTGCAACGATGGTCACTGCATGTTTCAAACTTAAAAGGGTAACCTGGGCCCCTCATCCAGTCAGACAGTCATCCATAGCGAGATTATCCCAGAACTCTCCATGCCTCACAGACTTCATAAAACTCTTCCTTAGCTGCTGATCGTCCAGGGTTTGGGCAAGATTAAAAAGTCTATTTCCATACTGCATCACCTACAAGTACATTCATAACGAATCATATCTAAAAATAAATCAATGAAGATGCATATATTTAAATGTATATATTTAAATGTATATATATATGTATATATATATATGCGTGCACATAATATAGATGTGTAATCATTATTTGCGTGTATGCATTTCGGAAAAAGTAGTTATATCTACTAACGCACACATTCACATTCAGCTACATTTACATAGAAGTCTAAAATTAGGGCAAATTCCTCAAAATAAAAACAAAAACAAAAAAACAAAAAAAACATGCCACGTGCCCTTGGGCACCGTGGCGTGCCAAGTCATATGGGATGAGTGTTCTGTCGCCGCAACCAAGCATTGCCCATGTCCATTTCCAGTTCGACTGGGCAAATCAAGCAGCAAATCAATGGTTTGTCTATGTGTTATTGATCAATGGCAATCTTGTTGTCATTAACCGATATTAACAATGATTGTCATTGATCATAAACAATGATTAATCACTTAAACATTAATCTTGTTATTGATTATCGCTGTTGTGTAACTCACAATCTCACGCCTAACATCTAAACTAAACTACCCTGTGGTAAACTAACATAACTATGGAAAATCACCATGTTCAATGGGTAAATCCACTATAAATAGCAATTTTCAATAGCTATGTTAGTTTACTAGAGGGTAACCCTTCCAGGCCAAAAGACAGGACGGGCATGGGCAACTGCGAGGTCAATTTGTTGCATCCGCAGAGTGGGGTTGGCTCCGCTCCAGCCAAATCCTGGTCGAGCCACAGGTGACTCAGGTGACTGATGATTTTCTGTCTCCAAACCACCAAGTCTTGGAATATATGGGCAACTCTCTCTCTCTATATATATATACATATATATATAAATATATACATATACATATATATATATATATACATATTATATATATATATATTATATACCGATATATGATATCTGATCTAACTTTGGCGATTTCTTTCTCACATGTCAAAGAGCACCATTAAATCTTGGTATTTGTTTATCATATATTTCACTTGAAATAAGGATGAATAAGGTGATAAATAAGATGATAATGACACACATATGTATATATATTATATTTAAATATATTTAAATATATTTATATAATAAGCTTATAAGATATGGAGGCTTCCCAAGTCATGGGGGGAACCCTTTATAAATCATCCAGCGGGGTATCCTTTCCCGAACGGCCCGAATGGCCACCAGTGGCTGGATCTGGGCATCCCCACCGTGAGCCAATGCACGAAGTAGAGGCTCAGGTCACGGCGGCTCACACGCCGCTCCGACCTGGCACCATATGATGTGCGTTTCTATATATTATATGTTATATATATATATATGTTATATATCTAATCTATCTATCTATCTAATCTACTCTACTCTAATCTAATCCAATCTAATCTATCTGTCTACCTATCTATCTATCTGTCTGTCTATCTATCTATCTATCTATCAACCTATTTTTGTATCTATCCATATCTATCTGTCTATCCATCTATCTATCTATCTATCTATCTATTTATATTTCTCATGTATCTATCTGTCTATCTATCCATCCAACCATCTATCTATCTATGTTTGTACGTTAAATCTATCTATCTATCTATCTATTTATCTATCTATCTATCAACCTATTTTTTATCTATCTATCTATCTGTCTATCTATCTATCTAGCTAGCTAGCTGCGAGCGATCTATGTCTCGAGCGATCGAGAGAAGGTATCGAACTAGCTAATCTATCTAATCGTATCGAGCGAAGGGCGAGCGGAAGCGAGCGAAGCGAGCGAAGCGAGAGAAGCGAGCGGAAGCGGAGCCCAAGCGAGCCAAGCGAGCGAAGCGAGCGAAGTCGAGGCCCAAGCGGGCCAAGCGAGCCAAGCGAAGCTAACCGAGCGATAGAGAGCGGAAGAGAGCGAAGCTAGCGAAGCGATGAGAAGCGAGCGAAGGGGAGCGAGCGAGCTTCAGCGAGCGATCGAGCGAGGCCAGCGGAGAGAGCGGGAGGAGCGGAGAGAGCAAGGAGAGCGAGCAGGAGCGAGGCGACCCAGTCGAGCGAACGAGCGGAGCAGCGAAGCGGATGAGGCGAGCGGAGCGAAGGTCTAGTCGAATCATCTGAAGCGAAGCGAAGCTAGCTAGCTATCTATCTATCTATGTATCTATCAACCGAGTGTGAGGCTGAGCCAGAGATGATTACGAGCGAGTTATCTTTTATCTAGTCTAGCTATCTATCTGCCTATGACGAGTCTATAACTATGTGTGGGAAAGTCTATCCATATATCTATCTATTTATCTATCTATCTATCTATCTTTCCTATCTATCTATCTATCTATCTATCGATCTATCGATCTATCGATCTATCGATCTATCGATCTATCGATCTATCTATCGATCTGTCTATCGATCTATCGATCTATCTATCTAATTTATCTAATCTATCTAATCTATCTAATCTATCTAATCTATCTAATCTATCTAATCTATCTACCTACCTATCTATCTATAGTGTTATATAAGTTACCTGCATAATTTACAACTGTTCCGTGTATAATATATATATATATATATTATATATATATATTATTGCTTTATCTTGGGATGTTTGATGTAGCATCTGTAAAAATCACATGAGTGTCAATAGACGATGCTACCCATCCCTGACTTGACGGCACCAAAGAAAAGAACGTGTCACTCAAAAACTTGGAGGCACCTCCAAGATTTTGCCGGTTGGATATACTGATATACTATTTACATCTACAATCATCTACTGTAGCCATTGGTTTCCATGAGGGCAAGTCGCTAAGCAACCAGTGGGACAGGACTCAGGCTCGGACCCATTCCTCATGATGGCGGCCTTAATGCCAAGGAAAACAGCTCCTGACGCTGAAGCTGAGATGTTCCCCACATCACCTCTTGGGGGGTGATGAGGGTTGATGCTTAGCAGTTGATAACCTCACAGTTTGCAAACTGGAAAATCATCATATCAATTCCATATCACAGCATCTTCAATAGGCACATCATCCAACTAAATGAGTTTTCCAGTTGGCAAAGTCTCAAAGTACCAGAGGGTTCTGGAGGGCAGCTTTTTTCTCGATCCATTTTCTCTCGGAGATGTGGGATGATGTTCCCCCACCAAGCTGACATGCTGACCATCAGCTGACAGGCCCACTTTAGAGATTGCCCATGGCTCACAGCACCTCGCATGTGCGCACTCGTAAAATTCCATCTGAATAGATGCTGAAGTAAATCACCCATATGTTGGCATATATATATAACACATATGTATTATTAACGTTGACATTAATATGAATATTATTTTTATTAATTACTATTGTTGTTATAAATATGTATTTATATATATAATTATATATGATTATGTATGTGGATATACACACAGGCTGCTTCAAGTCCTGGTGGAGCTTCTGCCTGAACAAACCATCCTAAGATGCCCGCGATGGCGGCTGCTATTTTTTTCAACGGCTGGTGATGCGCATGTGTTTCATTGTTGAATTATCAAGCACTGAAACACTTTTTTTGGGATGATTTTTGGGATGATTTCTCAACGGCTGGTGATGCGCATGTGTTTCATTGTTGAATTATCAAACACTGAAACACTTTTTTTGGGATGATTTGATATGTATTGATATGGATTGATGATCAAAGCTCATCATCAACTCACCCCCCAATCAAAATATCAACGCATATCAACCATCCATGTGTTCTGCTTTGGAATGATGCAAAACAGAAAAATCCTCTGGCAAACTAACATAGCTATTGAAAATGGCCATTTTCAACGGCTGGTGATGCGCATGTGTTTCATTGTTGAATTATCAAACACTGAAACACTTTTTTTGGGATGATTTGATATGTATTGATATGGATTGATGATCAAAGCTCATCATCAACTCACCCCCCAATCAAAATATCAACGCATATCAACCATCCATGTGTTCTGCTTTGGAATGATGCAAAACAGAAAAATCCTCTGGCAAACTAACATAGCTATTGAAAATGGCCATAGAAATAGTTGGTTTACCCATTCAAAATGGTGATTTTCAATAGCAAACTAGTTTACCAGAGGGTAAATCCTCTAGCAAAAAAACTCAGGACCTCAAGTTGAGAACTGACCTCCATCCAGGAGGGCTGTTCAAGTCGAATGATCATGCCCGGATGGGGAATCACAGAAATCATCAGAAATCTATCCACCGCCCAGATCCAAGATGATCCAAGTGGTCCATCCGACTGATGTTGAGATTTGGCACAGGATGGCGACGGGACATGTTTGTTTTTGGTGTGAAAATCAAGTTGGCGTCCTCGGAACCTCTCATACCTCGTGGATGACTTATGTCGACACGCCCAAACACACACATGGAACCCATTTGGCTTGAGAGTATTGGCTCCAAACCTTGGGACCGTTCGAGTTTCTGAGTCCATGTGCCGCTAGGGTGTTCATTTTAAGGAAAACCATATCTTTGTTGCCAAGTAGCCATTATTGAAGGCCAATCCGCTGAGAACGGTCTGCACCACCTGCTGCATGGCTGGAGGCAGCTGGCAGAGCGAAGGCAGGATGTGGGTGTGCTGCTCCATGATGTAGAAGACTGCCTGCCGGTGCAGCGAAGTTCATATTAGAGGAGTGAAGGAGAAGCTCATCCAACCCCCTTCATGTTTACCATGTTCTACAGGATCGTTTGTGGCATATCTATATATTTATATATATATATATAAGTATACAGATCTAAATACATAATTAGTTAATGGGGTTTATAAACCAACCTATAACTGGGGGCACCATGTTCTACCATTCACATTGCAAGCATTCCTGCAGCCAATTCTTGGCCGTGGCCGTGCCCTCTTTTCGCCAAGGGGCCAAATCATGGTCAGCAATTACCTCCGCTTCAAGGTAACCTCCGAAAGCAAAGCTTACCAAAGGGGAGGTAAGTCTCAGAGTGGCTTAGAGTTCAACCAACATAATTACATATTAATTACTTGGTCCAACATCATGATGTGACATTCAGCAGTTGTTGGACAACATTCCCAACTGCTCAGCCGTGGCACTGCAGTTGAAACTGCACTCTGAAAAGGCTGTTTACTTTTGATGGCTGGGTCTACAATTCCAACTCGCGGGCAGACCACTATCCGCAGCTGCGCTGTTCACCGCATAGCCAAGTAGAACTGGGGGTCATACTTCAGTGATCAGCTGCGCTTGTGACTGGATATGATTTGGGGTTTACACACTTCAGCAAACCATCAAAGATACCAAAATCCGTCAGTTTCCCGAGGTTACATATGTTACTGCACATGGATCTACAAAACGTCGATGTTTCACATTCCCCATGAAAATTGATTTTTTTATGGGTATAATCACAACCACGCAATATAACATACCCATACATACCCCCAATCAGGGCTCCAAATTGAATGGATCCATGTCTGTTTGAACCATAATTTCTGGTGTTTCAGGGGGAGGGGAATATCCCCTTCGGACACACCCATGGGGGCAAATGACCTAAATTCGCACCTACCAGTGAGGTAGCCCAGGGAGGCCCCTATAATTTCTCCAAAATGATGGTTGACTTTTTGTGGCAACCACAAAAAAATGACAAGATATGACAAGTTGGAACCAGCAGTGAAGACATCACCTCTACACCCCTGGTTTTCTGTATGTTTCCCATATGTTTTTTCCCATCTTTTTGGGGATGTCTGTCAACCGGGCCCCCATCTCCCATCTCAGTGAGCGATGGAGGCCCTCAAGGCTCGCTCTCCGCAGCGGCTCGCCTCGGTAGGGCGCATCGGCCTTTTGCACCGTCGGAAGGAGAGCATTGATCTTCATGATGTCGTGCAGTGCCTGGAAACACAACGAGAGCTTGGGATGGTCAGATTGTCAGATTCAGCTGATTTGGGTATATGTCAAAAGGAAACTTAAGATATTTTTTCCAATGGTATGCTAGTCTTAAACACCATTGTTTTGGGATATCATGGGATAGAGTTCCTTCTAAAACACCAATTGTTATCGGGACCAGACGGGGGCACACAATGGCACAACAACAGGATGATTATTTCCAATAGGGACTATGTACCATCAGAGGTAGAGTCCGGTACTGGATCGGGACATAATATGATATGACTATATATGACTGGCAGCGCTTAAAACTACATACCAAAATTCTGACCAAAAATGGGGATGCCCCATTTATTGTTTTTATTGCCATCACATGATATGGAACATGCTTATATAAGCCATCGGCTGCAAGTTCCAATCTGCCAGCAATCCTCACAATCATGCAAGAACTTTGATCTTGACATATTAAGCCCCCCAAATACAAGGGGGGGACAGTTAGCTACATAATTGTAGAGGTAAAATCACCCATTTTCCTCTCCCCTTTGTGACAATGATTTTCCTACCCTCACTTCTCCAAGGGACGGTTAGCACCAGAAGTGCTAAAGTGGACTCTTTGTCCACGCGCATCGCTCCGCCCTGTTTCACCATCAGACCTGCCCCGAGCACTCGATGCGGATGGGATGGATTGGTTGGAAAAAGCTACAGAAGGCCATGGATTTCGCCAGTAAATACCACCCAGATGCTCCATGTATCGAATATTTTCCTACATTTGCCTCAAAAATTGCCCAAATGTAGGTAAATATTCCATACATGGAGCATCTGGGTTATACAGTAAACATTGGTTTCCTGCAGATGTTCCCTTCGGGGAATCCAAGAAGTGACTGCGAGATGCTGTAAGATGCTATCACGACATACTCTGGCAATCATTCATATCATTACAATGGAAAGCCCTCGTCTGGAGCGAACAAACCCCATATCCCTATATGAATGGGAAACGTCTTGTGCGTTGCCATGTTGTGATTGATTTCAGAAGAATGCACGATACTGGTACCGGGAAGATTCGATGAGGGTGGATGAACGAGGATTTTTATCAGCACCTTTGCCACCACAAAATGGGCCAGGGCAAAGCCTCTCAACAATACTGTCAAAGCTGGACTGTTACAGAGACCACTACAGGGGGAGGTCTGCCAAAGTCATCCAAAGTAAAATTGTCATCTTGGATGAACGACAGGCATTTGTGGGCCAAATTGGCCTCAGTCAGATGCTGTTCAGACAAAAAAGGCCGAACAGATTTGTTAATGAGTTAAAGGTGCCGTAGCATGCCCTAGCCATCCCCAGCCTGCATCCAACATCAAGTCTTGGAAGTGTTTCCAAATCTCATCATCTTCAAAGAAGGCCTCGGATCGCTGGGATCGATATGGCTGGTGCCATGAGTCTGACTCAACATTGAAACCGGTAAATGCCGTAGCAGGCCCTAAGATGATTGTCAACGAGAAACACTTCATGATCATGATGATCATGAATCATGGTTGGTAAATACATCTAAATCCTGGCTATAGGTTTGACAGAGTGCCCTTTTTGTTTCCTCAATTGAAATACATGTAACGATCATCTAGATAGGGACGCGAACATCAATGAAACCACTGATTTCGGGATGCCACGGTAGTTGTAGCCCATTCCGAATGGACTTTCCATCCAACTCTTCGCTGGCGCTGGCTGCATGCGTACTGCGCGTACTGGCTTCAAACGAACTTTCTCAGAGTCCACATGAAGTGACTGTTTGGGTCAATGTAAAAATCATGATTTGATCAAGTGGGTCAAAATCATGATAAAAATCATGATTTGATCAAGTCCTAGAATTTCGCATTGTCCCTTAATTTATCCCACCTTTGCCAGCCTTAAAAAAATGTGAAAAAATCTTACCCAACCTGGTTATGACATTCACAGCAATAGCCATGGAAAATCCCCATTTTCAATAGGTACCCTCTGGTAATTTAACAGTTTGCTATTGAAAATGGCCCAGTCGAAATAGTGATGAATAGCATGGTGGATCTTTCCAGTTCGCAAACTGCTAGTTTACCAGGCTGGGTAAACCTCCATTTTCCTATGCTTTTCCCATGGTTTTCCTATGATTATCCCATTAAAATTTAGTTTACCAGAGGTTAAACCATCTATAAATGGCAATTTTCAATAGGTAAATCCACTATAACTATGGAAAATCACAATTTTTAATAGGTAAACCATCTATTTCGCTTAGGGCCATGGCTCAATCCCATGGCTTTCTGCGGACCCCGGATCTGCCCAGGTGCTGCCACTTTGTCGCTGTCGCCTTCACGCGACTCCACGGGCCTCGGATGCGTCACGTGGAGTTACTCCAATCACTAGGCTTTATGGTAGACACTAGATATATATATATATATGATGATGATGATGATGATGATGATGATATTTATATATATATGTATATGTATATTATACACCCATAGTATATATCATATATATATATATCATCATCATCATCATCATCATATATCTATAGTTACTATGGTTTGTAAACCAACTTCTAAGTGTGGGTTTGTGTGAAAATAGTGTACCTCCACAATATCCCACGATATCCTGATTATTGATCATCGCTCTCCCTTTTTTGTATACATGACCACATAAATGGAGTAATATGGAGCATATTCCCTATGTTTGAACAATTTTGAACATACCCATGTAGAAAAATGGTCATGGCACAGTTTTTACACTTCTGCTGCGTTGATTTCTGTTATCATCTGCGGGGACTCCTCCCTTCAAAAGTGAGGTGGTTTGACACAACACGCTATCAAAATCTTACCTCAGCACATAGCGAAAACAGCCATAACCAGCCAATTGGTATGTGCTAAACAGCCAACATCCAACTTGACCAAGATGTTCAACTTTATGCCTTCACTGAACAGCCCAGGCAGCCCAGGCAGCCCAGGCAGCTCAGGGCTTCGCTTCCCAAGTCAAGTCGCTTCCAGGATTCGTCCACCCCACGACAGAAGCCGTGCTTCCCATCCAGCGGCAAACCTGGACCCGTTTTGGCGCCGCCGGTGCCGGTGGCGCCGGTGCCGGTGGGGAGTGTAGTCATGGAAGCCAGCGAACATAGTGAAAGGATGTGAAAGGTTGTAGTTTTGGTTGGCTTCTTCAAAGTATGGTAATGGATGGTCATGGGAAATCAATGCTTTGTTTGTTTGGATTGGATGTTCTCAATGAGGAATCCGGCATTCAAATCCATCGATGCCAAAAGGACCATGTCAGGATAGAGTGCCAGAAGCTTGTTGGAATGGCTATGTCATCATTGGGATCTCTTTTTGCCTGTTGTCCAAGATTCGGCATGAAAATCATGAAACCCACCCCATTCCTTGTGTCTGGCAAAGGGTCACAATGTGAATGTTGTTGTATGGGTCCAACATGTTCAAACCGACCGCAACCATACCCCCATGATCAAACGTTCCCATTGCAATAACAATTTTCATTTTTTTTATGGTTATGCTTACATCCCATGATACACCCATATCCCATAACATACCCAACATTTTGTTGGTGAACAAATCATATCCTACTATTATACCCATTTTGTAACCCTTGAATACCCTTGAAATCCCAAGGAGAATGACAACGATTGGTTTTGTTTTCAAGATATACCAACACGATCCCACGTTTTACATTCATTCAAAACTCAGATTTCATGTCTTATATATAATTAATCTTATTCTGATTACATCATTGGGTTATTTTCTATTCACAAGTGTGGATGTTAAAATTCATTGGGTAATCATATTTCTTGAATCCCAGGGGCGAAACAGCCAATAGATCGCGAAGAATGCGCCCATGGTCCGTTGGAATTCGTCGCCCGCTGCGCGTCCGCCCGTTGTCAAGCCCTCCGGACTATCATCCGTGGCTTCCACGGACAGCCTCAATGAAGGATGCGGGTGAAAAGGAACGCACCAAATTGGGTGATATATGGTGATATAACATAGTTAACCAGCATGTTTTAGAGATTTGGCCAGTAAACATATGTAAACATGAGGTTTTGCCACTAGAAATGTGGATTTAAGATCATTTAAGTCATTTAAGTCATATAGGCAATCTATATAAATATATGTCATCAGATTGTGATATTTTTTTCTGCAGAATCAGCTTCGGCCAATAAGTCCAATGAGTCCATCGAGGGTTCGCCAACGAGCGGCCCTTCGAGGCTGAACAAGTGAAGTTCCGGGAAGGTCGTGAGAAGGTCCTGAAACAGGGCATGGGTCCATGGGTCCATGGGTCACCAGCCATGGTAACCGTATAGGTGAAGCATTCTAGATATGGAAATCTCATGAAATCCATGGATTTCCCGAGGAAAATCAGCTTCAAATGATGGCATGTTCCATATCTGTGAGACTGGAGGGTACATACCCCAAGTTCACCTAATTGTGACAAATATCAATGTTCCTACCCATACACATGACCAACAATTTAACTGGCTAAAAAAGGCTGATAAGATCTCACAAATGGGTGGTGTATATAAATATAATTATATATATATACACATATATATATATACAAAACAACACTGCATAACTTGGTTGTAGCAGCACCTCCTGGTATAGTCCATACACACGACACCATGATAAATCGCAAAGGCGGCACTTCTTTTTATCTGAGCATTTGATTCACATTCGTAATTTCAGCTTGGCACCCTTGGGTAATGTCAACCTTGGGTAATAGTCATAATTTATCATAATTATAATCTAATAGTTACTTCAATGGCACCTCCAATTAAACAGCCTAGGGGTTTATTAATTCAAGGTTGACATTAAACTGTCAAGTTTCAACACAGAGAGATGTTCAAAGCTCCCGGTTTCGCTGGTGCCTGATAGTACTGCGCCAGTGAGTACTCTGGCTTGCCGATATCTTGGGCAATCGCCTAGCATCATCCCAACACGCGACACGTGTCAACACCATTTATAGTTCGGAGATTTTCCAGCTTGCCACGTTTGATGACACCCTTGGGACGTAAATTGACATCATCTACGGATGCGCGGCAAAGCACAATTCCCTTGACAAGAGCTTGGCAAATCTGATATACCCTCTGGTGTCATCAAACATGACAATGGAAAATCTCCTATACATGGAGGTTTTAATGGGACAATCAACTCTCTCTCTCTCACGTTTGATTACCGGACGGTACATACATACATACCATACCATACCATACCATACCATAACATACCATACCATACAGTACATACATACATTGCGTGGATGTGAGTGCTAGGAGCTACTGGGCTGCAAACATGATTTGCAGGTACCGCGCAATGCACGGATGGAATTCTCCTTCTACAACGATGCTTCGAAATGTCCCCAGTCCCCAAGTCAAACGGCTTAGGACCAGTAATTTATGTCAAACATTTCTGGAGGTTGCTACATTTGAAACACAACCGATCTGGGGTTCAACACTGGTTCCTAATTCCATCCCTCGATCACAGTAGACAGCCCCTAGCGCGGCGTCGCCTCCTTTGAAACGAAAACGGACAAGATTGGTTGCTAGTTCCGACCACGCCCAAAAATATGGAAGTCAATTGGGGATCATCATCTTCCCAGAACTTTGAATGGAAAATCAACAAATCACTTGAAAAGACCAACCAAATGGGTTTATCAGAAAAAAGAGGGCCTCAAAATCCAGTGCTTCATCGCCATCATTCTCCCCATGAAAATAGCCACGGTTGACGGTATACTCCCGTTTCAAAGATAGTCAAATATCAGATTGTCAGTCATTAGCTGGAATATAGCTGGAATATACATATATACTCCCGTTTCAGTCAAATATACTCCCGTTTATTTCATTTTTAACCCCCCATAAATCCCATGAAATTCCTATGATGCTTCATCCATCATCCAGCCGCCTGAGCACGATCCAAGTCCATTTTCCGACCAGCCAGCACAGCCTGGCAGGTGGGTCAGCCAAAAAAAATAACCTATAAAAACTTGGGAAATGGGAATTCAAGGGATGTTCATAGGATAATTTTTGGAATTTAGTGGGATGATCCTGGGACGATACCCTGAGGTCTTAGAAAACATTCCCAACTGAATGCCTTCTATGGAGGTTTCTAGGTGGGGAAATCATCGAGCTGCATGGAGATTTAAAGGATCGAGCATGGAAATTACAATCTTTACTGGTTGGTGGTTGAGCCTACCCCTCTGAAAAATATGACTTCGTCAGTTGGGGTTACTATTCCCAATAATATGGAAAGTCATAAAATTCATGTTCCAAACCACCAACCAGATAAATTTCGCCATTTTACCACTAATGGGGATTTATTCACATGAAACAAAACTTGAGCATGCAAGCTTCAGCAACCAAATGCTTGATTCCCAAGGAGATCCTGTTGACCCTGGATTGATGAATTTTGACGAAACCACTGGGTACATGTCCACGTAGATGAATGAATGGATGGATGGATGGATGGGATGGGATGGATGGGATGGGATGGGATGGGATGGGATGGATGGAGTGGATGGAATGGATGGAATGGATGGAATGGAATGGATGGAATGGAATGGAATGGAATGGAATGGAATGGAACGGAACGGAACGGAATGGAATGGAATGGATGGGATGGGATGGAATGGACTGGACTGGACTGGAGTGGAAGGATGGATGGATGGATGGATGGAATGGAATATGGAATATGGAATATGGAATATGGAATGGACGGAATGGATGGAATGGATGGAGTGGATGGAATGGATGGAAGGAAGGAAGGGATGGATGGATGGACGGACGGATGGACGGACGGACGATTGGACGGACGGACGGAGGGATGGATGGATGGACGGACGGAATGGATGGAATGGATGGAATGGATGGAATGGATGGAATGGATGGAATGGATGGAATGGATTGGATTGGAATGGAATGGAAAGGAATGGAATGGATTGACGGACGGACGGATGGACGGATGGATGGATGGATGGACGGATGGATGGACGGAGGGATGGATGGATGGATGGACGGATGGACGGACGGATGGATGGATGGAGGGATGGATGGATGGATATATGGATGGATGGATGGATGGATGGACGGACGGAGGAATGGATGGATGGGTGGATGGATGGACGGATGGATGGATTGGATGGATCGGATGGATTGGATGGATTGGATGGATTGGATGGATTGGATGGATGGATGGATGGATGGACGGACGGACGGACGGAGGAATGGATGGATGGGTGGATGGATGGACGGATGGATGGATTGGATGGATGGATGGATGGATTGGTTGGATGGAGGGATGGATGGATGGATGGATTGGACGGACGGACGGATGGATGGATAGATGGACGGACGGATGGATGGACGGACGGATGGACGGACGGACGGATGGATGGACGGAGGGATGGATGGACGGATGGATGGATGGACGGACGGACGGATGGACGGATGGACGGATGGATGGATGGACGGATGGATGGATGGACGGATGGATGGATGGACGGATGGACGGATGGATGGATGGACGGACGGATGGACGGACGTATGGATGGATGGATGGAATGGAATGGACGGACGGATGGATGGAATGGAATGGAATGGACGGACGGATAGATGGATGGACGGATGGATGGATGGTAGATTGATAGGATCCAATTTCGATGGCTTCAAGTCCAAAGAGACGACCGGTGATCACCGGTGATACTTCAAAATCAATAAGCGACTGTTGTCTAGTCACGGCATAACGCCAATGAACAATACCAGATTTCATCATGGGTGCCTTTTTTCCATCTGTTTTAATGAAACATAATGATTTGATGGTTTCATCCTCGCTAAAAATATAAAAGTCGTTTTGGATAATTGATAGCCATCCCATTTGCTGGGGGATATAAAAACATATGCAAAACCATCTGCCAAATAAAATAAACCAAACCAAAATTATCTCTCTGCATCGCCATCTCAGGCGATCAGCCGGAAAGCGAGCTAAAAGGCGACAACAGAAATTAACCATCGATTTATCCATATGTTTGATACACTTATATACCCAAGCGCTGTAATCTTCCTTGAGATTTGTTTTTGGATTTTACACATGATCTGCCCATTCTCCGTAATATCCATGGTTTTCCCCAAGTTCTTCCAATGATTTTCCCCCCCAAAAAAAAACGCTGCCACGGCGCCTCCAATACAGGCGACGGACTGCCAGTCTTTCCAGTCACCGCCAAAGCCTGGCGGACGGTCCAATTGACCATTGAATGGTGACTTTCATTGATTTTCCATAATCCTTATAGTAAGCTAAGATAACTGGTTGGTGGTTTGAACCCCTCTAAAAAATATTATATATAATATATATATAGAGTCAGTTGGGATGATTATTCCCAATATATGCAAAAAAATGTTCCAAACCACCCAGCTAAAATAACTATGGACGAATCACCAGTTTCGATGAGTAAATCATCTATGTAGAAATGGGCCATTTCCATAGCTATGTTGAATATGTTGAATTACCAGAGCGTACCCTGGGGTATAAGCATACAAGAAACATCCAAAAAAACTGCGGAACACTGGAAAAGCACTGAAAAAATCACGAAACCGGAAATTGATCTGCATTCATGGTTGGGTTTCCCACAGACCGCGTTGTTTCTCTTACCAGCTTATCCCTCCCTGAGAGCGTATGTTTCATACTGACCGGGTTGTCTGTTGCGGCGTGATCAGATGGCCTCCTGCTAGTATCCGGTATTTCTACTAAGGCCTCTTTGGGATCCCATTTGCTGTATTCTATATAATTTGTTATTTCTGCCGCTGTGCACAAGCGGGGAAATTGTTTGGGGGCCTATGCGTGCAAAGCCGCCCAAGCCACCCGCTTGAGGGTGACAATGAAACAAAGCCCAGCAAAGCCTAAGCCCATCCTCCAAGCCTCGAATGTAATAATTATGACGATATCATGGGATATCAAGGGGGATGATAGATTCGATACATAAATATTTCTAATTTATATACCCTCCAGCAAACAGAAACACAATCTATGGAAATCTATGGGGTTTCTCATGGTTTCGCATTCAAACACATAAGAATTTCCATATCTACGCTCCTGGAAGGTATCGGGATTCTCAACAATTCCCTGTTGCGGGAAGATAAACCATGTGAATTGACAATGGCAGATGTGTAAATATGAAAGCATCATGAAACACCCAACCTCTTTCTTTTCATGCTATGGATTGCTATTTTTGTTGGATATCTAAGTTGAGAGTTACCACTCTCTCTCTCTCTCATGTGTTTTTTTTCCCTGAGGAAGTTGTTATTAATCATTGTCCCAGATTCTGTGCCTGGGCTTACGCCATGATTTAAGTGGAATGTCAGCCTATGCCCGAACGATTCGGGGCAGTGGCACCTTCAACCATTGCAAATCTGTGACATCGAAACATCTTCCGAGTTGTGTTTCCTCCAAGATCCATTCCTCCAGCTGTAGCTCGAAATTGTCACTTTGATGAGGGGTATTCCTCAGGTATTCCACTTATAAGTTGGTTCATAACCCCCATCTACCATCCTCTATCGGTGAACTCAGCGTGTTCCGATGGGCCGTTTGCCTCCAGGGATACTGCCACACCAGGAACGCGCCCTGACCAAGTCACGGTCGATAAATTGATTTCTCAACATGAAACCACGATTTTTCCCTCTCAATGATCGGGCTTTCCTGCAGGATCCTGCAGGTTTGGAGGGGAACACATCGATCATTTCTTTTTGGAGTCAACGCTCTACTCACCTACTAGATAGACTATAGATCAATGAGTGTCTATGGAATGGGTGCATTCAGGTACGAGTCAGTATGAACAAAGATTTCCTTGGAGGAACAAAAGAGGGGTGGTATGGCATGATCATACCAATTATTAGCGTTTATATACCCAAAGTGGAAGGAAATTGGTGCTTGCAGCTTCCCTCCCCTTTCACCAACCAAGCAATGTGAGAGGGACATGTATGGGTGTAAACCGAGAGTGAGTATAATTATAAATGTTAAGCCTGTATATTTTTTTTAAATATACATCTTTAACACAACACATCTCAGAACATATGCATATATATATATGTGTGTGTAATAAATTTGATATATATATATATAAATATATATACACATAATCCGAGGTCCTACATATACTGTCACTGCTTCCTGGAGGTCATCCAGCGCCCCGCCTGCTCTTGACTCCGGGGGCACGATTTCAATCTCCCCCACAGATGCGCTGCCCTGGCATGGTAGAACCTAAGGGTCACAATGGCCAAGGCGGCCAAGAACGCTTCATGGACGTCTGAACTCAGCCGATTGCTTCATGAGGATGTCATCATTTTTCATGACATTTGTCAGCTGCTAAATGGTGGAACAAACACATCAGGAAAAAAAGAAGCGTAATGAGGGAGTTACACTTGTCCCGGTGGTGAGATCAGCGGTCTTGTTGACGCATCGCATTCTCTCCATCCCAAAGCCATCCAAAGACACCCCACTTCCAGCCGTCAATCCGAGAAGCACTAGCGACGCTTGCAGCACAGGCACCCATGCTCATCAAAGCCCAAAAAAAAGTTGTTTCAAAGGCAACCGCAATACGATGAACAAATCAGGTGAAACTTTCGGTGATCTGAGGCTTTTTGTCTTGGAGACATGTCAGGTGGCTGCGGTCCTTGCAGGGGGTGCTTGGTCCAAAAAGCCCAAAGCCCTTGCAGCCCTTGGAGCCCTTGGGGAGCCCGAGTGCTGAACAGCGGCGCAGCAATGCGCAGCAATGCGCAGCATGTGATTCCCCGCTGGTAATCAAAGGTGGCCATGGAAAACCCTCCATGATGCCATGGAAAACACATGATTTTCCCATTCGCAGCTCCAATTTTTGAGTGGATGTTCCAGCCATATGTGATTCCCAAAGGCTGGGTGTTTTTTGGAGTCAAGTTCCTGCAGATGGTAGCAACCCATGGGTACCATTTTTCAAAGGCCTATGTGAGAACTATGTAACATAGGGAATGTGCCACGAAAATATGGCTTTATATGGTACCGTAGCTCTATTTTAGGGTCCTGAAATTCCCATTGATCAAAACCATGGCTACTAATTAATAAGGTACAAATCTGAAACGGTAATGAATGCATGAACCTTTTAAATCAAGAGTTGGTGCTGCTTGGGCTGATGTTTATGGGCTATACCCCAAGCGTTGTTGCTGAAAGAAAACTGATCCACGAAGGTACCAAACATCTTGAACTGAATCAACTTACTGGTGCTTAGTAGGGAATGGATGGGACTGGGGGAATGGGATGATTATTACTAGTGATTATGGATCATTCCCTCATTCCCTGCTAAGCACCAGTAAGAAGAACAAGTGACTACATCATGTATTGTGCCAGCTACTGAATGTTATTTTAAGGATTATCATATCTAAAAGTACATCTGCAAAATGGTGACAGGCCAGGTATGCCATCCCAACTATTGGAGGCCAACACATAGAACAAATTTTGTTCGGGGAATTACACCTTAGCTAATCAAATATAACAAATATTTTATGGCATACACAAATTCAAACAACACAACTATATGGATATGTTATAGGCTGTATAAATAAATGACTATATTATATATATATATATATTATATGGAGGAAAACAAAACTATAACATTATATAACATGAACAAGTGAATTACACACACAAAATCTCCCCATTGTGATCCCTGCCCCCTTGACCATAAGCCAGCCTGCCCTTCGCATTTTAGAGGCTCCATAGGCCTCAGAAAGAGGCTTTGGTGCAATTTTCGGGGATTCCATGGTTGAGCAAAAATGGATTCTATAGCAAACCTGATGTGGAATCCGTAGTAACTTAGAAATCATTATTTGATTAAAAGTTGCAACAATTTGGGAATTCACCCAACCACTTGGGTAATTTGTGTAGTCGCCTCCAAAAAGATAGAACATAATCTAGATGACGATTTGCGTAGTACTTTACTTGTCTATCTTTTTGGGACTTACTACATCATTAATGATGTTGAGGAATCCTTGTGGAATTCTGTATGTAAGTATGTATGTCTGTGTGCATGCATGCATGCATGCATGCTGCATGCATGATGTATGTATGCATGTAGGTAGGTACGTACGTACGTAGGCAGGCATGCATACTAAAGTTTTGAGCCAGTCAGTGTTGCTGCCTTTGCTGACTAATGTGAGATCACTGTGGCAAGTGATGTTTTGGCTCCACAAGTGCGGGGGGGTCGGTATTGTGTCATTTCTTTGAACATAATTCCAGCCCTGTGAATTGAGGCTGGGTCGATATTGTGTCTGTTATTTTTTGTGTCAGGTCATTTTTTTTATCAGTTTGATTGTTTTTTTCTTGTGTTTCTAAAATCACACAATAAAATCGTTATTAAAATTCCACAATAAAGACAGACTTCTTATAAGATTCCACAATAAAATCGTTATCAAAATTCCACAATAAAGACAGACTTCTTATAAGATTCCAGAATAAAATCGTTATTAAAACCTAATTAAAACGACGCACCCAAACATTTGTTTCAAAAGGGTAGCCCATGAGCAACTCAGATCTCCAATAGATTCCAATAGTATGTTTGTGGTGAGAGTTGTGTATTGTGTCCTACTTTGTCTTGGTGATTTTTTCCAAAAACATGTTATCCCGTTCTTGGGTAGTTTTCATCTTGAATCCTCAGAATGCCACATTCCCCCAAACGATCAAATGTCTTATTCCAACCCAATGAGAAAACAGCACCCAAACAATTTTTCAAGGGGTAGCCCATGGCCCATGAGTAACTCAGATCTTCAATAGTAGATTTGTTTTGCGGGCTGGTATTATGTCCTACTTTCTCTTGGGTGATTAGATGTTTTTTGTTATAATTAATTTCGTTTTGTTATAAAACCCTTTATCCTTTTCTTTAGCCAGGCTGTTGTAACTTACTTAACTTTCTTATGTTTGAATCCTCAAAATGACAAATTCCCCAACATATAACATTACCTGTTAATTTTATTAAAACCCAATCAACATACAACAACACCCAACCAATTTTACAAGGGGGTAGCCCACGAGCAACTCAGATCTTCAATACTAGGCTTGTTTTTGGGGTTCGGTATTGTGTCCTATTTTTTCTTTGTGTTCTTTCATAAAACCTTTTATCCCTGTCTGTGGCATAGCTATTGTAACTTGCTTAGCTTTCTCCTTGAAATCTCAAAATGCCAAAATCCCCAAAATATAGAAACCCTTTTGAAAACACAAGAAAAACAGCACCCAAAATATTGTTCTAAGGGGGGTGCCCCATGAGCAACTCGGATCTTCAATGGTACGTTTGTTGAGGGGTCCTCTATTGTGTCAACTTTTTCTTTGCGAAATCCTCTTAATTTATCCTTTCCTCTGCTATAGCTTTTGTTTGTTACTTAGGTCCATTCTCCAAATATCCTCTCATGAGGTGTCTATGGAATTTCTATGGGATTCCAATGGAATTCCTATGGAACTGACATGGGAATTCTATGGTGCTATGGGATTGCTATGGAATTTCTATAAAATTTCTTTGCAATGTCTGACAGATTTGAATGGGATTTCTATGGGATGTCTGTAGAATTTCAATGGCATTTCATGGATTTTCCATGGAATTCCAAAAGGATTTCCAGGCATTCTAAGGGACTTCTATGAGGTTTCTATGATATGTCTATGCCGTTTCTACGGGATTTCTATGGGATTTCTACGGAATTGACATGGGATTTCCATGATGTTTCTATGGGATCGCTCTGGGATTTCTAAAAGATTTCTTTGCAGTTTCTACAGGATTTCTATGGGATTTCATGAGATGTCTGTGATATTTCTAAGGGATTTCTGTTGAATATCTTACTTATCTTTAGATGTCTTTTGGTTATAAAGGAAAATGCATTGAAAGTAAATGGATATCTATCGAGTCCTTACTTACCCCTAGATTTGGGTTTAAAAGGAAAATCAGTTGAAAGTAAATTGAAACCAATTGAAATCCTTTCTTATCAATAAATTGCTTGAAGGTTTAAAAGGAAAATCAGTTGAAAGTAATTTGATCGAAGGTTTAAAGGGAAAATCAATTGAATTTAATTGAAACCAATTGAAATCCTTACTTCAGATCATGATCCAAACTTATTCTCAAATTTTGCCAGCCTAAAGCAACCCCTCAATTGTTTGGGGGGAAGGGGAGGCCCTACACTAATCAAGATCTTACATTGAGGCAATTCGGGAAATTTGCTGGGAACATCACCTCGGAATCCTTGGTAACTGGCTGGTGGTTTCAACCCCTCTGAAAAATATGAAAGTCAGTTGGGATCATTATTCCCAATATATGGAAAAATAAATAATGTTCCAACCGCCAACCAGTTAACATATTCTTTTGTATCAATGTCATTTCTTTTGCTAATGCTGGCGTGCTGATCTTTTTGAAACTCTAGAATGACTTCACAGTATGTGCTCGATCCGACTGCCACGCCCTGCCCCCCGCTCATTTCGCAGGAAACCCACGACTCAGTGGGGCTGAAGATGTCAGCGCTTGGGAATCACTCGTTTGTTGCGACAAGCCAAGCATAGTTCAAAGGTAAATGCGGTAAATGGGGGCCTTCATTGATATTTCTATACAGTACATTTAGTGATCCAGTTTTGCTGCCCCCGTGGTGTCCTTTGGGAACCGGTTCGCAACAAGCTTCCTATCATTCCTATCCATGCTGAAGGTGAAACTCATGGCTCCGACGTGGATCAAAGAGGGCTGTCGGCAAAGATATCTTGTAAATCACCTAAAGCAGGCACCAAGGCTTACAAACTACTGAGGACCGAGGCTTTGAATCACCTTGAGTGGGAGAAAAGGAAATTTTGACTGCCATCCTCAACTGGCGGCCCCCTTCAGGGTGCCACTTCCAGGGAGCAAACACGCGACACGCTCTGCTGCAAACGGTGACAAATGCATTTGTCATGTGACATGTCGTTTTCATGAATTGGAGCTCTTCTTGTTTTTCCAGCTCCCATGCTAACGTCCTGCAGTATCTGCAGTTTTTCAAAAGTTCGTTGCCATGTTGGAAACCGCAAAATATAGCAGCAAGTCTTAGCAACCGTATCTGGCCGTATCTTATTGGCCCCCCACGACTTTAAACAATAGTAATTATAAGCTTATTTAACTTGCTGAACACTGCGACGTAAGAACCGAAACTAATAATTAAATACCCTCCCGTCAAGTTGCTTCGGTGGCAATGGTCATAGGACCCATATTTAGCAGGATCAACGGGCAATCATCATCTGCATGCCCGGTAGCTGAACCAGAATCGGCTTCTCAAAGGGGGGAGCTGTCAATGCGCGGAAGCCTGAAGCCAAGTGGAATCAACAGGGATGCGAGGAGCGATACCCAGGTGGAAGATGGTGGAAGGGTGTTTATGTCAGGCTTGCGGCCCATAATAGTCTAATTATACTATAAACTATTGTTTTTCGCATTTCTGGTTAAAAAAGAACGAAATTCGCCTGCCTGCCAGCGTGTCCGATTGGAAGGTGTCGTTCCTGTTTCTGTTCTTGGCTTGTGCTTGTGCCTTTGTTCTTCACGCTTTTTTGCTGTGACTACGACGACGACTACTGTACTACGACGACTACGGCTACGACTACGGACTACGACTACCCTACTCCTACTCCCACTCCTTCCTTCTTCTCCAAGTACTAAACTAAACCGGCAGTGCAGGTAGTTACTGAAACGGTCTACACAGCACTACAGTCGTCTGGAGTCTATAGCTGTACTCCTCACAGGAGGTACATAGTACTAACCTGATCGACCGGTACTCATTTGCTGTTTGGCCAATAGGTTGTTAACACAAGTTGCTTCTGCTCTACAGCCCTGTCTTCGTCTCCTCTTCTCCTTCTCCTTCTCTCTCCGGCTTCCACCTAGCGTGCACAACAACCTCGCTTGGGGCAACCTCTCTCCGCTTCCACCCTGTCTCCTTCCATTCAGCGGTCTGCCGTCAAGCCGAAGGCTCATACATAGTACCTGCCGCTACTCTACTGGGTATACAGTCAACAGGTTGTTATGGCAAGCACTTCCTACACAAGCTGCTTCGGTTTTGCGGCT